AGCCCCCAGAATGAGCGTGGGAAGGTGAAGAGGATGAGACTGGCACCACCCTAAGGAATTCGCAGTGTTTGCTTGCTGACTTGGGAAGTTTAAATTCAGTCTGGTGAGATTGATGTCAGTTTCAGCCCAAAGAACTCCACGAGACAGTACAGATATAGTTCTATAGTGTTTATTAGCTTCCACCTACAAGACAGAATCTCACCAGACTGAATCTAAACTTCCCAAGCCAGCAAGCAAACACTGCGAATTCCTTAGGGTGGTGCCAGTCTCATCCTCTTCCCCTTCCCACGCTCTTTCTGGGGGCTAAGGAAATGCTTATCTCCCCAAGCGTGGCCTTCACCAAACCATTCCATCACAGAAACACTGGCTATGCAGGTGGTCCTTGACTTATGACCATTCATTTAACAACCATTCAAAGTTATGACAGTGCTGAAAAAAGTGACTTATGACCGGTCCTCACACTTACAACCATTGCAGTGTCTCCACAGTTACAGGATTAAAATTTGGGTGCTTGGCAACTGGCATGTATTTATGATGGTTACAGCATCCTGGAGTCATGTGATTGCCAGCTGCAACCTTCCCAGGTGGCTTCTGACAAGCAAAGTCAATGGGGGAAGCTGGATTTACTTAACAACCATGTAATTCGCTTAACGACCACAGTACAAAAGCGTAAAATTGGACACGACTCGCTTAATGACCACATTGCTTAGCAATGGAAGTTCCAGTCCCAATTGTGGTCATGAGGACTACCTGTAGACAATATGAAACTTCTGAAAAACTCCTATAGCCAGAGGTAGCTTAATATGCCATGTAGGGTGACATGGATTCCAGATACCTGAATAAGTAGTATCTTGTATTTTGTCTTTCCAAAAATATATTGAAGTTACTTCTAAACCCCATCACTTTTCACTGGATAACCTTCAACGTTTAATATTATGCAGAGGGGGAAAGTTTCATCTGTGCACATTTAGCTGTATCACTGCACTCCCAGATACATCTTTACTAAGAACGTGCTTCCACATTCTCACACTTACCATTGTATATGCCAATCCGACCATCTCCGCCACACAGTTCACTGGACTTGCCAAAGCAGACTTGATCACATTCCACAGCACTCACTTGCTGGCTGTGCCGGACATCCCCTTCATGACCACAGAAACAGGCATAACCAGCTTCTACTCCAGCAAACTTCCAAAGAGGGAGAGGAAAATAAGAGAAGGTTTAAACATGGACCCATCTCTTTAACTGCATGGCTAAGATTGTGAAACATGAAATCTTACAAGGAAACAAGGAGAGGACAGGCAGTTGTCTTGAAGGAAATTCAAGACTTCCTATGATATACTCATAGACTGAATTCACTGAGCCATGCTTGATTTAACCATGGTTTACTGAATAAGCCACAATTGATTGGGTTCACCCAACATGCTCAGCCATAAATCATGGTTTACAGACCATAATGACTTATTTGCATGATAAACTGTTGAACCAGTTGCCCACTTATGGGCCAGAAGAAATGGTTTACTTTCTATGGAGCAATTATGCAGAGTAATAATACCAGCATATTTATATTTCCATAAAATAAAAGGGCTGGAGAATACAGAAGATTATTATTCTTGTTCTTACTATTATCATCAATAGCTTAGCATCAGGGAAAGAGCCAAAAATACCTGCAAGAGCTCTAGAGTCTTGCTAATTCCAATGAGAAAGCTTAAACAGGTGCCCTAATCAAGCAACCCGACTGAATAACACTTTCCCAGGTATTAAAAAATAGACTGATCTTAAAATTCAGTATCTCCAGAACAGAAGCATAACCATGAAGGCAGCCGTCCGAACCAAGTGTGATAAATGGGTAACAACTGTGCATTTGTTGCGCTAATAAAAACTGATAGCCTGGAACGACAAAACAAATGCTGTTTGATGGCTGAGCTCTGTTTCACAGGGTGCCAAGAATTAGGCTGATGGGATGAAAATAGAGAAGAGGATAATATGTGTCTACTCTGCGCCCATCAGTTGTCAGAGAAGGCAGAGAAGGATGCAAAACCAATCCAAGAAAGGGGGAAAAGTGGATCAAGGAAGGCACATGCCCCGAGCAAGCGAAGAAAATCAGGATTCATGCCTTCCGTGCAAACTAACTTTGCCCCCCAAAGAGGGTTCTCTTCACATCGAGGCCATAATTTCACCATTCTGATTTGGTGTTTAGATGTTACACCCTGAATTACAAATGAAGGGTGGAGAGCTGGTTGGCTTCCAAGGCTCCGATGTGGGGCCGGGATCAGCAAACAAATCAACCAGGGAAGCTTTTTATGGCACGGAGATAGGCACCGTTGCCCATCAAATCAAGCAGCAGCTGCTCAGGGCCCAGTAGCCAAGATCAGCTCAGAAATGTTGGCAACTCAACAGTCCGTATATCAATATTAAATAGATATTTCTTCATTAAAAACCGTGGATCGGTTGCCAGCTGAACCACTATAGCTGCCTTGACAGGATTTGTTGAAATGTGAGATATGAGCCATCTTGGCTACCCATTAATAGAAAGAAGGAATTGTCATGGCTGTTCTTAATGGGAACTGTTATTTAATGGGGTGCTAAGAAGACAAGTGAAAAAGAGGTTGAAACTACAAATGGAGCTGCTCTACCAGACATTTCTATACAGGGAACTATAGCTTCTTGGTTCCCAGACAGAGAAATAGCCATTAAACCCGGCTGCGTCCCAAATTTCTTTATTCATCAAGGTGTTATATGCAGAGTCTCCTAATGGTCTCCTGTCCAACACTGGTTAAATTTGTTTGCTGTGCCAGAGCACTGCTTTGTGTGTCTTTGGACCAGGCTAAATGCTTGAAAACATCCTTAAATATAATCAGTCTTTAAATCAGCCTTCTCAGGACTCCAAGTCAGGTTGGGGAAGACAAAATCATATTTGAAACAATGTCAGGTTTAAATGAAAAACAAGCCCAGTGTTGCACCACGCATCTCCCACGTGGCAGATAGCAAGAATGAAATATTTCTCACCGGTGCTTTTTTTCTAGGCTGGAGAGGAGGAGAACAGAACATGGATTGGGCAGACTCACTCCCTGGTTTTAGTTAGTATTTCATACTAATCTATACGCCCTCTTTTCTCAATCAGTGCCATCTAGTCATATCTGGACTGCAGTTCCTACAATTCTTGAATTCTTAGTCCAGCCCAGAATTCTAGCCAGCCTGTTATCTGGGAATTCTGGGAGACGAAGTCCAAACACACCTGGACAGCACCAGGCTGGGAGGGCTGTTTGAAGTTACACCTTCAGTGTACTGTGTAGGCCACCTGAGCTGCGTTTAACAAAGAGACGGCTGTACCTTATAGCCCCGCTTGCGGCAGAAACTGAGGCAAACTTGCACTGTGAGCTTGGTGGAGGTGCCACTGCTCCCACTTAGTGCTGGGGGAGTTCCAGAGTCCAGGAAGCAACCCACATAGCCAGGCACTGAAAGAAACAATGAAGGGTTCCACTTATATGGCTGTCTATATCTAAGTCAGGTCCATGGGCAGAAATGTTCAATGTTTCTGCAGGAAGGCACCACAACAATGCACAACTGCAAGACTTTACAGGTAGTCCTCGCTTACCGACCAAAACTGGGCCCGCCAACTCCATCACTAAGCGCCGCAGTCGCTAAGTGAAAATTCACAACACTGCACTGGACTTACAACATCACTTCTGTCATTAAGCAAATCACTATGGTCGTTAAGCAAGACATCATGTGACTGCGACTTGCGATTTCATTTCTGCGTTCTTCTTTAATTCTGCTTGTTTGAAGCCAGTTGTGAAGCTCGCAAATGACGATCACATGACCGCAGGATACCGTGATGGCCGTAAATGCAAGGACTGGTTGCAAAGCTGGGGTTTTTTTTAACAGTCGTAACTTCGAATGGTCACTAAACAAGGTAAGCAACAACTACCTGTATATACAAATCGTCCACATAATTCAAAACATCCAGTGATTTGCCCCAAACTGAAAGAGTACACCAGTTTTAACTATTTATTTGGTCACTGGATAGAATATGATCTGCACATATGTAATAATATCTTAGCAACCAATTTCTCTCCTCAATCTGTCTATATTAAAGCATTGAATCGCTACTTGCAAATTTTACGGCCAGACACAAAAGCTAAGAGTCTGCAGATACTTTTAGTCCACAAACTGGGAGCAAAGCAGGAGAAAGTCCATTCATGGATGGCTATGAACTTTTTTTGGCTAGTCTTGATTTGTAAGATCTAAGAGAGAGACAGAATCAGGCAGGATGCCTTTTAATGATTTCAGACATATACTTTACCATATTGTTTTGAGTGAAAGGCATCAAGCAGCTGTCTCAAAATTGGTGCTCTTCGGATATGTTGGATTTAATGCCAACCTTTGCCTTACAATTTCTCTGAAGTGTTCTTCCCCTGCGAGAGTAGTTTATGTTTTTCTGTCTTTTTCTCAGGATGCTTGAAAATTTCATTCAAATTTCTCTTCTTGATGTTTTGGGCTTACTTTCTTGTTGGAGCTGGCAAGGGTGCTACAGCTGTATTGTTGTTTTTCTATTATAATTCTTTCTTTCACTTCAAAGTTGCCCTGGCTGCCCAAACTTCAAAATCTGAAAAAGGCCAGTAGGGATTTGACTGAAGCAAAGACTAAGCCTGGACTTTCACACATACATCTTGGCTCTCCCATAATAAAGAAAGGCAAAAACACAACACTCCACCCATGAGAATTTTACTAAAATGTTCTTCTCCTTTAACATAAATTTCAAAGCAAGTGATCTTTCCTCTGAGCTGGTGATTGATCAGAATAAACTACTAAGGATCTACTTATCAGTTTGAAGGAGAACAGTAGGAGAACGGTGCCAGAGAGCCATACAGCATGGCACATCCATAATTTCCAGCCACTCTGGCCTTTCTAGCAGTGTTCCTCAACCTTGGCAGCTTTCAAATGTGAGGA